GGCACAGATGTTTCTGTACACTATGCCAGCCACTTGGTTATGGTGTTCCATGTATGTCCTGCCTGCTAGCATCTTGCACCCCGCTGTTATGTGCTGGATTGTCTCAGGGGCATCTTTGTACAGCCTGCACCTGGGGTCCTGTCTGGTATGGTAGACCCCTGCCTCAATTGATCTTGTACTTAGAGCTTGTTCTTGTGCTGCCAGTATTAGTGCCTCTGTGCTGTCTTTCAGTAAAGCTTTGTCCAGCCACTGGTAGGATTTTTCGATCAGCCACTTCTACTATTTGACAGCAGTACATAGCGTGCAGAGGTTTGTCCTTCCATGAGGGTTCCTGCTCTTCCTTCCCTAGTTCCTCTGGTTTCTGCTGCCTGAGGTGTTCACTAAGCATGTCATCACTCGGGGCCATCTTCCTGATGTGTTCATGGATCTTTGTGAAATCCGCCGTGCATTGTAAGAAGCTTCCTTGTCTTGATGTCAGTGGCCTCTATCTCCTCCTTTGGCCAGCTTATTATGCCAGGGGGGTACCTGATGACCGGCAGGGCATAGGTGTTAATCACCCGGACTTTGTTTTCCCAGGAACAACATCTGAGATCTCTGTCCAGAAGAGTGCAGTCCTAGGAACAGCTAAGATACTGCGCAGGATCCTCAAGCTCCCAGGCCTCTGGTAGAGGACCCGAGCTTCCGTTTATATAGACTGGCTTCATTCGACCGGAGGGCCCGGGCTTAGATCTGACCTTAATGTAAATCCATGCAAAATACACTGTCACCCTGGAAGTGGGAATTCCCCCAACCACAGGAGGAAGAATTGAGCAAATTGTTGCTTGGCACACCAAAATGAGGAGAAGAAGATGACAAGCTACCAGCTGGGGCTCCTTTCTATTGTAATGCACACTGGCTGACAAAAAATAAAATAAAATAAAAGCAAAGGCTCAACTATAAAAGTCTTAGTCGCCTAGCATATTTCTTGGCTAATTACTCGACTATTCAGGGGCAGCCCTTGTGCATGTTTTCTGCCATTCACACACATACTGCTCCTCATCCTCATACTTACAATGCTGATGTTCCCAAACTTGTCAGAGGAGGCCATGGTGTCGTAGTCGAGCAGACAGGCTGTCGTCACCCAGCGGGGATAAGTGTCATCAGCAAAGATGATGAGCTGGTTCTCATTGCGTCGGTAACGTACCCAGAACAGACTCTCCTGAACGTCAGACACGATCACACGCTGGCCAATGGTATGGATGCCAGTCACCATGTTGGGAACGTGCTAGAGAAGGAAGAAGAGCAATCAAGTAGACTCAAAACATGTCTGCTGCAGAGAAAATTCTCCTTTTGCACAAGGGAAACATGGTGTCATGGTTGGGTGACTGAATCATGTGCAGCACTGAGACTGTGTTATTCATTAAAACGGACTTGGACACAGTTATAGATATATTGTTGGAGGAGAAAACAAGCCTCAGCTGGTGCACAGCTGCCAGGGAGTCCACATGGCCTTTGTTACAGCTGCAGCACATGTACCTGTGTGTGCAATTGGTCTTAAATCCAATGCAAACTGTGTATCCTTTCTACAACAGAACGGTCAGGCAGAAACAGTGCTGTGCACCAGCTGTGCATCAAGGATGCCTTTTGATGCACTTTGTGCAGTTTAAATTATAGGCAAAAAATATTATGTGCCTCCAGTCCACATGTCGAATTGTCCTTGGGCAAGACACTGAACCCCTCCATCGCCCCCGATGGTTAGAGCCATTGGTTGAGTTGGCGCCGCAGGTGGCTGCCATCGTACCAGAAACAAATTCCTTGTGTGTAACATACTTGGCCAATAAAGGTGATTATCCTTATCCTTATCATCATTAAGGAACCACAAACATGGCGAATGCATTACTGAAAACCTTTCCAATACTTGCTTTTTAAATAGGCTATTAAACAGGCTATAAAACCAGCAAGACTGACACGAGAGTACAGTCTTCTTATTTAACAGCAAATTTCACTACAGGTTTTTAAAGTGCACTGCCACACAACATACCATAATCCAGGTTAGAAAAGACCATAAACACAGCAAAATGTCAATTATTGGTCATACATAATGATACAACATAATCACATCAACAACTCACAGAACACAAACAGCTACACTAAGTAAACAGATGTGCATGTTTGAGTTGGTGCCTTACCTTGTTCTCACACTTGCGCAGTAGCTTCTTTTTGCCCAGGTCGTAGATTCGCAGCAGTTTCCCAACACCCACCAGGACCCGTCCCTGGAAAGGAGCAATGGCCAAAGGCACATCCTCTACCAGGGTCTGCCAACCAAAACAAAGAATTTGAGAGCCATTGATAATCTGATTTTAGGCAGTTTGTTGTTCAGGGTGTTGTTCATAGTTCAGCTGATACAACAGCTGTATCACTGATGTAGATAGTGTCTGTCTTGAACAATTCTCACACTGTACTTGTTTCACTCATTAAACTGGCTGTTTAATGCATATTCTCAGGCAAAATCCTAATATACAGTGGGTACGGAAAGTATTCAGACCCCCTTAAATTTTTCACTCCTTGTTAAATTGCAGCCATATGCTAAAATCATTTAAGTTCATTTTTTTCCTCATTAATGTACACACAGCACCCCATATTGACAGAAAAACACAGAATGTTTGACATTTTTGCAGATTTATTAAAAAAGAAAAACTGAAATATCAC